GTACAAAGTTCTACATACACTTCATGAAGTATTGGAATAAGTTCCTAACATAAACTTTGTGGTTAAGAGAACTGTTAATTGTTGATTGCTGTCCATGTCAATCATAATTCTGTAAATTTGACAGACCAAACAAGATATTTGTGTTTAAAATGATGAGCAGAAAGGCATGACAGGCAAAACACTATCAGGGTGATGGGGTTTTTTAGATGGCTGCAGATAACTTACTGCTCGTTATCTGCAAAATGTTTTCCTGTCCTTAAAACTTTAGAGAGCACCTCAAAGGTTTTATCTTAAGCCTGTGCAAAGGAAAACATGGTTCTGTCTGTTAATTTTCCATGAAGACCATTGTTTTTTTTCAAACATGAGTCAAGACTGTGGCAGGGCAGCCTACGTTCTCCGTGACCACATCACTAACAGATGGAAGAGTTTTTGAAAACGTCTGTGTTCTTTGAACCTTGCCGAGAGGGGAAGCCAATCCAGCTTTTGAGGACCGTGGGTCTGCTGGAGGAGCACGGGACAGTGGGTGTACTACCTGGGGAGGCAACAGCAGCGGCACCGGGAAGATGCATTACATGGTTGGCGGAGGTGGTGCGAGGCTTCACAGACGTGTGGGAGACCTGGTGGGGATAATAATGGTAATTGTGCTCTGCTGGGGTGTTCACAGGCATATGTTATGTATCTTTGTTATTTATGGTATTCTCCCACATGATTCCTACTGGTTGACTGGAACTATGTAAATTGGGATGGTAATACAAGTTGGCAGCCTCTCTCCGCTTAAAGTAGCTAGTGATGTGCTTGTTACCACCCAGTTGTAGTTCCGTCTGCCATGAGCTGACTTACCAGCAGTCTGCTTGGTGTTGCATAGGTTTGTAGCACCATCCCCGCTAGGAAGATCTTACAGGCTGCGTTTATTCACTCAAAGATACTGTGGTTTTAAAAACTGAAGCAGGGTCAAGAGGCAGGGAAAGGTTTGCATTAGTCTTTATGCACTGTTGATAATTACTCTTTTTAAACCAGTCACTTTTCAGTCCTCTTCCTGTTTCTGTATTGAAAACTTTGTGTGCATATTTACCACTTGAAGATCTGATGGCTGGTGTAAAGCTTTGAATTGGGTAGATTCTGAGTTTGGGTTTTTGGGATTTTGGAGGTGGGTGAGGGTTTTTTTTGTGACAGCTATGTGTGATTTAGTGAAATTTCACTGTTGTTGGAGCTTTTGCTGTCGTAAATATTGGTGTCTTAGATCTGTCTTTTATTCCAAATACTGCCAGAACATACAAATTGCCTCTTGTTCCTTGTCCAGTGTGTAGACAAGGCCTGAATTAAGCAAAGTGATCTTGACCCTGATAGTCACACAAAGAATACACATCACAAAGGTACTCTTCCCTTTTTTTTCCCTTGCCTTTGTTCCCACCTCATCTTTGTTGTCCATTCTGAGAGGATCTAGAGTTGCAGGTTTACACCAAGCCAGAGTGGCACTGCTGGACTTGAGCCTTCCAAAGCTCACAGCACTTGAATGCTGAATTGTAGTTTGCCCACCTCAAGTTTAAAAGAGAAAATAAAATACAAAATAAAATGAAATCTCTAGCCTGTCAAAGGGTGGCAGCACCACTGTGTCAGTGGCATAATTCACCTGCAGACCTGTACGTTGTCAAAAATGCTGCCTGAGAGCATTTTGGTTTATTACATTCTGTGTAAAAGACTGCCTTTTTTTTTTTTTTTTTCAAGTGGGTGGGATTTATTTTCCACTGATTAGTTGGTTGAGGGGGTAAGGAGTCCCCTTTTTTACTAGTGTTCTATAACACGAAATGAATCACAGTGTCCTTGCGTGACTGCCTGTTAAGCCAAAAAGCTTATATTTCTCATACCCCAGAAAGTTTTGGAGGAGGGAAAAAATGACAGTAGAGCTTTTTATCCACAGTAACCTTAGTTGGTGGCTGCAACAGATAGGAAATCACTTTACTAAAGGAATTTCACTATGCTTAACCACACCCCACCCTCCCCTCAAGACCAGTGGGAAAACCTTTTGAGTTCAAAAATACGCCTGAACAACGTAAAGCAAGTTTGCACCTTAAGCAATTTGTGCTCCTGAAGTCATCCTCCGTGTTCTTTTCCCTTTTCATATCTCTTTCCTGATGTCCCCTATTTTAAACATGAGCCCAAACCTGCTGGCTGTGTCTTTAATGCTCTCTGCCTGTGTCTCTAGCTGTGGGCTGTTCCCACCAGCAGTCACTGGACTGAAGTGTCGAGGGGAGAGGGGAGGTGTGAACTGGAGGTGCGTACCCTTTGCTTCTGCCCAGGGAGGTGTGTGGCACCTGCAGAGATACCCAGAGACGCAAAGGAGGCAATACCTGCCCTCTCCCAAGTACGTGGGTTTGGGCAGAAGAACAAACCAGGACGAGGAGAATCGCCAGCAGGATTGCACAGTAAAATGCAAAATAAACGAATTTCAGACCTTTCAATTTTTTTAAAGAAGCTAAGCGTTTTCATACTCACAGTTGTAGTTCAAAAACAGGAGATACGGGTCGGTATTTCTAAAAATACGTGAGCACCTTTGTTTTTTCTGAAAGCATCGTTCCTCAGTCTGCTGTTATTTTTAGAAGGTGTCCCTCCACCAAGCTGGCACCTTTCTGGAGCTTGGTGTGTGGCCGCTTTCCCTTGTTAAGCTGTCAGGGTTGACTGAACCCTTCCGAGGAAAACTTGGCAACTCCTCCGGAATTAAATTTGCAACTCCAGCAATTTATAGATAAGCATCATTGCAGAGGATTTGCGTTTCTCCCCTCTGAATATTGGGGGGTGGGGGGGAGGATGGGGAGGAGCGTGCAGTGCTGGATCCATCCCTGCTGAGCTTATGCCCATGTGCTTATTTAGATTTTTGTCACCTTTGGGTCTATCAAATACTTGTAGTAGTTGTTTTAAATGGGTGTTAGTTATCCTGGGTTTAACACTTAGGGACTAGACAGAGCATCTGTAACTTCCTGGGTGTCCCTTGGTGGATGCTCCCCTCAGCAGAGGAGCAGCATTCGCCTGTGTTACGGATGAAGTATTTTGCTTTACTTGGTCTTCTAAGAGAAATATTTAGTAAACACTTGTGGTTAATATCAGTGCATTAGTCATACTTAGATATGCTAGTGACACAGATTGTGCCCTGCGAGCGGGAGCACGTAAAGCCTGAGACAGTATTTTCAATATTCTTGTATTAAGTTGACTAATCCAATTAATATTTCAGAATACTTGAACGACATTAGCTATAAACTGCAAAGCCTCTAACAGTTTTTGGAAGGCACATTCCAGCTTTTGTTTGTAATAAGTTATAAGTACAAACAATGTCTTTGTAGAAAAAAAAAAAAAATGCGGACCGCCCCACAACGTTGACTGCTTTTAGGATTTGAAGTAAGAAAAGATAAGTTGTAAAATTAACATTCCTGATCACTGGCCAATTTCAGATTCTTGTGCTATTTATAAGTCAGCCAGCTTCTGCTTTTTTACTTAAGTGGCAGGTTCCTCTTTGACAAGAACGTGGAGATTTTTTTTCCTATTACCATTAAATTGAAGGATGAAGAACTGCTCACACTTTGTTTTTTGTCTGCAGGAACCAAAAAATGAAAAGGGGAAAAAAAAAAAACCAAAACTGAAAATTAAATGCTTGGTTTACATAAGTGTGGTAATTTTCTGGGCAAGTCAGTAGAGGCTTAAAGTATAATTTAGATTAATCTGTTATTTCCTCCTGATAGTAGGCTGGTTTTTTACTTACAGTAAAATAGAGGAAGTTCAGCATGTTTATATTTAAACCTGCACTACAGAGTTCAGTCTCAAAGGAGTTTAGGAGTGTTAATAATGCAACCTGAACTTTAAGTTTCAGCTGCTAAGATCATGGGCTTCTTGGTTCAAAGATCAGTTAAAATCCTCTGCAGGCTTGTAGACCTTGATTGCTCTGTCTGCTCGGGAAGGTGCTCTGCATAGGGAGCTACAGGAATAGTTTTCCTGCAGCAGGCAGGGAAAACAGCGGCACGGAGCAGAGCTGGTTGTGGAGCGGGGACCTGCACTGCAGCACCGGTCCTCAGGGTCCACAGTGAGGGGCGGAAAAAGCAGTCAGTGCTTAATTTTGGTGTTGGTCTCTTTCTTCTGTCAGCGCAGTCTGCCCTGGTGGGAAATCGGTCGGCTTTATGGCTGCTGTTCCTTAGAGGGGTCGTGCTGGGCATCGTGAGTAGAACAGGAGAGGAGGGGAGTATGGCATGCTCCAGTCCAAAATACAGAGTCCACTGCCGAATGCCGTCTGTAATCATTAAGCATTACAGGTGTGCACTGGGCTTGGTCAACAGAGCATGAACAGCGACGTTCTCCAGTGACCATGAACGTGGGAGCTGAGACCGGTGCTGCCTGATGGGCTCTCCCTGCCTGCAGTTACCCAGCTGTCCACAGCTGTACCCTCGGCCTTGCCTCAGACTCCAGTGCACACGACAGCGGTTTTTTTGGTTGCAATAGCAACAAGAAAAAGCTGTAACTGTGTTTTGTGAGCTTCTCTGTTTGGAGTTTTAGGGTTGATTTTGTTTGGGTTGATTGCCCATCCTTTCTGCCTTCAGCACAACCTTTATGCTTCCTAATTCCAGGATTTGGTTTTACTCTTCCCCCAAAAACTTGGGATTTTGACACCTTCAGATTGCTTTTTGCTGCAACAGGGTGTCACCGCTGCAAAGCAGAGCCTAGCATCTCGCCTCAGCACAGCATGTGAAACGACGAGTATTTCACTCTAGTTCTGAAGTCCTCCTGTTTTCATGGCTTGGGATGAAGGGGGTATTTTTCAGTCACAAGAAAGCCACAAACCTCTTCCCTGAGTAAAAGGAGACACTGAAAGAGGACCAGAGGCGTTAGGTGACAAGGAGTATTGTCACCAGCATTAGCAGAGGCAAAGATGTGTTTTACGTAGTATTTCATGTGGATAAAAGGTTTGTGGCTTTACCTCTTGCTGTGCCTTGATTTGCTTTTCGTTCTTTGTTTTTCAGGTGGCTTCCTTAGCAGGGCCAGGAGGGAAAGTTGAAATAGAACAAAACTTTCTCAACAACAAACTGAAGACAATAACAGCTTATTTTGGTGATCTAATAAGGCATGACATCTCCTGAACTCAGTGTGGGTTCTTCCAAACCCAACCTCCCTGACTGGCTGCTTTGCTTAAGCTTTTATACAGTGGGGTGGTCAAAAATGACTTAAAGCCATTTTCCGCTTTAATTTCTGTTTACAAAAAAAGAAGTTGTTCTGTTTATTGCTACTGTCAATAAATGTTTTCTAATAATTTTGACAAAACTCTAAACGTAGTGTAGCAGTCAATGTAGGAACAAATGATCTGTATAAAATGCAGTCGTGCAAGGTTCTGGCCCAACCAGTTGAAGGGGAGGGAGTTCAGGATTTCTTTGCAACTCTCACTTGTGCGACTTCTGTACTTGCTCTGGCTACAAGCATTCCAGAGGGTCAAAAAGAATAGCCTGAAAGCTGCCCTGGGTCAAGAACTGCTGTCTGTGCTTGAGGAAACCAAAGCATCTGAACATCAGGAGGAACTAGACGGTCAGGAGCACCACCTGTGGTTATCCACAGTCCATCTCCGGCTCTGCGCTCACTGGGAAACCTCCTCAGCTTCTCTTTGTAGGATGAAGGTCCACACGTTTCCTACAGGAATGCTCCAGCTTGTTGGCAGCACAGGGAGCGAGGAGGGCACATTTGTGGCTGGCAGCAGGGCTCTACCCTCTGTTTTTTCTTATTTTTTTTCTCCTTGCCACCTGTCTTCATTGCAAAGATGTTTTGATGAGCCCTGACGGGAGGTTTGTCTCGGTAACCAGAGGGGTATGTGTCCCCCTGCATTTTGAGACCTTTTGGAACCTTGCACAGGTTTCGGGGAGGGCAGAGAGAGCCCATCTCTCCCTGGTGAGGGCTGTCTGCTCCCACTTGGGGTTTTTGGGGGGGAAGAGTGGCTTTTGGGCACTTGTCCAAGTAGAAAAGGAGGCAGGCAAGAAACATGTAGGGCATGGATGTGGCACTCTCACTGAAATGCTCTTACAGTAAGTACCCAGCAAGTACCAATTTTGAGCCCGTCTTTGAGGTAAGAGTGTAGGAATATAGTTTCTAAGACAATGAATTAGTGCTGCTTCTCCTCTGCTTGGAGTGCAGCAGGATGCTGAAGGCAGCAGAGGCTAAGCCATGCATTAGTGCTGACAAACAAAATTCTCTAGAAAGCCTGTAGAATAACCAAATAAGAGGATTATTTCCCACCCCCTGTAAGGAATAACATTCAACTCTTCAGATCAGTTCGGAGACCACAGTGTTTGTGTGTGTGTGTATGGGATGTTAAAAACCATGTGTGCAACCTGCCTCCGTGCAAGGTCACAGTGCAGTGAAATAGCACTTGGTAAATCCTTTTTTCTGACTTTACTGTCCATCCAGCACCAGACAAGTGCTAAACTGTTAATGGCTCTTACATCCATCCTTCATGTAAGGTAGTTTAGATTACTTTGAAGATAATTCGACTGATTGGCATCGCTGCATTTTACTACCGCAGCTAAGAAGTACTGTGACAGTGCCAGCCTCTGTGTCCATATTTAAAGGGAATTGGAAAGAAATTATCTGCTGTTCAATATTCCTTAGAATTTTGCTACTAGGAGGCAAGGGAGGTTGGCAAGAGTGCTAGTATTACAGCAGGTCCAAGCCTGCTGTAGCATTGGCATGTGAATGTAATGATGCTGTTAAATTTTCACTGCAAGCTACAAAAAAATCCAAGAAAGCATCATGAGGCCAAATGGAAAATCAGTTTATGCTGTGTATGTCATAGTTCTCTACTCTGTACACTAAAATTTTACTATATTAGGCTTATTGATGCTTACAGAAATTATGTTTTCTTATTTGGTCTTCTTTTCCTCCCTGAAGTGTAGCTTTGGAAGCATTTTGAGGTCTTGCTGATGCTGCTCCCATAAAAAAGAAGCTCTGTGAGGAAAATAACCAGTGAGTGTACTTTTACCTTCAGGAAAGTAGTTAGATTTTGCTCGGTATGCAAAATGTGGAAGCTGAAATGCGACATGAAAGATCCGTCTACTGTTTTAATGGTTACTTCCAATGAACTTACTCGGAAAAAGGAACAATTTATCGAAGTTCTCCGCTGAGCTTTGAGAGTACATGAAGCACCAGAAGCAGAAGGATATCCTTGTTCATGGCCGTTCCTCTCTGTAACCAACAAGTACAAAAGGGCAATTTATTATTTTTTTATACACACTGCTGAGTTGTGATAAATGTTTGCCCTCAGCTTCCCACTTGGACAGAACAGGTGAAGTTCCCCAGGGCTGTGAATCTGTCTGTTAAGCCAAAAATACATCTTGTGAGTATTTTTACTTCCTTGTTAGTAATTTCAGTCAGCAGACACTTCATGGAGGACAGCTTCGTTCATCATACAAGTTTCTGTAAAACGTTACTCTGCTTTATATTGCAGAAAAAGTTAACATGGGCTGAAACACAGTTAAATTGCTGGACGTCTCATGCTCGGAGTTTTAATAATACCCTTTTGGAATTTGAGTAGTATTTTGCATATGATACGTTAGACTACGAAAAAGCTACGTTGGTACTGTCAAGTAAATGCTCACAGAGGTTTGGTTTTTTACCAGTTTTAAGCCACAAGATAAGCAGTAGGAAAAATGCAGATTTTGTTTTTTTTTAAATTAACTAATATTTGGACTAAATGCAATAAATACATGGTTTTGTACTTTCCACTGTGCTCTTGAGCTCCTAATCTCCTAGGTTTATTTTAATTGAATCCAATATTTAACCAAGCCCATCAGTTTCTTTTTCTGGTGCACGAGATAAAGGGAAGTGGTGGAACATACAGTTTAAAAAGCACATTACAAAGCTGAATTGCAGGTTGTAGGGGACCAGGGCAGAGCATCAGCGAGGCTGAGCAACTGTCTCTTCATGGTAGGACAGTTCATGTTGTGCCCGTCTCTGAAGGAGGCCCCATTAGTGTTATGGTAAAAAATCACCGTTGCGTGAACTTTTAATGTACAGGTTTTAGAAAATCTTCCCCAAGTGCAGTGGTTCTGAAATAACATCTGGGTCTGTATGTGCAACGCAGGGGTTATATAAGCAAATTAATGTTACGCCGCAGTGACCATGGTAACATTTAGAAGAGGGAAACCCCATAAATAGCAGAAGGAAAAAATTGCTTGCAGTAACTCATTGAACAAACCAGTAGAAAATTGGGTCATTTTCACTTGGTTTACTCTCTCTGCTTTCATGTGCCTCATACTCACTTTTTGCTTTAACTGTCCTCCCCTCACATGCAAATCTTCCCACCTCCAAATACCAAGGAAGGAGGGTAATCCTAATGCGTATCATGAACTAATTTGACGTTGCTAGTACAGCCTTTCCCACACAGGTGTCTTAGTATTCCTGCCACTGGAATATCTTGGTGCAGTCCAGTCACCTTAAAAAAGCTGATTTTCAGTGGTGAGGAAGTTTGAGATTTCTATGTGAAAATCGAACAGAGATATTTTTGTAAGCGTGTGGTGCGGTGCCGAAGGACTAAATGCTTTAAAGCCAGGCTTGAAATTGATTCAGACCCTCTCCTGGCTCAGCTGTCAGATGGTGAAGCTGTCAAGCGGTCTGGCCTGCTCCATCAGGGCAGAGTGTTAGCCGTATACACACTTCGGGGAATTACTTTTAAGAGTGGTGCTGTGTTGATTCAGTTAAGTGAAGTCCCAAATAATTCATACCAAAGAAAGACGGAAGTAGTTTGTCACCTGGGAGGCTGCCGAAGTCATTGCTACCTGAACGGAAGGA